CAGAAAAATTTTTGTGCCAATGGAGCTTCTTACCGTTGCCGCTAAACCACAGAAAGTGAAGAGAGAGCTGGATGAATCACAGAAAGCCAAATTGATTCGGGTGAGTTTAACGTGGAGGTGTGAATTTTGCTGAATTTTAAGAGAATCGGGATATGTGCGGTGGGCGAGAAAGAAGTTGTAAGTGAATGTGGAATCTGAAAAAATTACTTACTGGAAAGAAGTCAGTAAAATGGGAGAGTATGTTTTGTATATGAGTGATGAAGGAGAGCTAGGACAGTGGAAAATTTAAGAAGTTAGGAGCAACAATGGTCAAAAGCGCAACTATCAGGTAACATCTGATGGCTGTATAGATCGTAAAAATGAACATCTAATGCTCAACGCATGAGGGTAATTTTAAAGTGATGGGGATGTGATGATTATGTGTGAATAGTAGAATAAAAGGATTGGATTTAGGTATCATGTATAAAAAGACATTTTACAATGCAGCAGTCTGTGTTTCATCCCTTAGCTGTAGTAAACGCAGACTGAATTATGCGTACGGATAGGAGCGGGAATCATCAGTACAGCCTCCTCTTATCCTCCATATATTGAACAGCCCCACGTAATTAATTTGCAATACGGATATATGAGCTCAGGAGAAAAAACAGAGAAAGACCAAACGGAGTAAAAGAGAAGTGAAAGAAAAAGGCGAGAACTCTAGTTACAGGGAACTATTTCGAGGAAATGTGTGAAGACTGCTAATGTGCCATTATCGGTCCATTGTAGCCATTAATGGGCTTACACAAGCGCTATGTAAATCATTTTTTCAGGGCGCAGCAATGGAACCAAAATTGCGAAAAGAGCGCATTGAGCTGATATTGAATGATCAGGACCTGGACAACGATGTTTTTCTGAAGAATTACAATGTCAAAGTTGAACCGGACATGATTCATCTAAATGGAAGAGTGCTGGACGCACCCAAATTGGAATTGTTTGTAAGTTATTCTTTTGCCGCTTCATTTTTTACGCGTTTTTTCTTGTGTCTGTGTTTTTGTTTGTACCGACTTTTCATCTCGAGATCTACATGTATGTGCTGGCCTTTGTCTCCAAAATGAACGTCTTTGCCTACGTGATTCCCACGTTCGAGCCCGTGAAAGTTTCTGACGGGAAACTGCTAACTAAGGAATCTGAAAAGCTAGAAAGTTGGAATTTTAAGGGGATGTTTCTCGCCTACGCAGAATATAGTGACTTCAACCCCTGTTTCCCGGTTTGCGTAGTTCTCACGTTCGAGCCCGTGAAAATTTTTCGCGGGTAAGTTACTAACTTGGAAACCTGAAAAGCTAGAAAGCTGCAATTTTAAGGGTATGCTTTCTGACAATCGTGATGGCCAGTCTCAGTTCTTCCAGTTAGAAGCATCTGCCGGATAAAACAGTGCAGTTAGCGATGCATACCTCTGGACAACTGCGCAAAAATGCATCTTCGTACCGACAGTCGGTGCGATGGCCAATTTTTTATGAATTCCACAGCCAAAAATGGAGTGTTGAAAATGAAGATTTCACATACACATCACTGTGGAACAACGAGGATGCATTTGCTTTCTTGTTTTCCTGCTTGTTGCTGGGGCACCCCTCTTTGCGATG